CCCCATCACCCCTTCCCCTACGACCCCCCTCCCCAAACCATTCGGTGCCAAACCTTTGGCTTTTTGGAGCAAATTCGACGTCGCCGATTGGTTGGAATCGTTAAATTTGGGAGAGCATCGCGAACGTTTCCTCCACAACGAAATCGACGGCTCTCATCTCCCCTCCCTCACCAAGGAGGATTACATCGACCTGGGGGTCACCAGGGTCGGCCATCGCATGAACATCGACCGAGCCCTCAAACTTTTCCTGCAGAGGTGATCGCCGGGGGGGGGGAAAAAAAACAACAAAACAACAAAAAACAACAAAAAAAGAACCCCNNNAAAACAAAAAAAAAACAACAAAAAACAACAAAAAAAGAACCCCTGGAAGCCCCCCCTCTCCTCTTCCATCCCCCTCCATCCCCCGAATGATGAGCAGAAGGGGAGGGAGGGGTGTGCAAGGAAACCGGGACGTGCAAAGGGGTTGGGGGGTGCAACGCAGCTGGGATTTGCAAGGGGACTGGGGTGTGCGATGCAACTGGGACGTGCAAAGCTGTTGGGGTGTGCGATGCAACTGGGACGTGCAACGCAACTGGGACGTGCAACACAAGTGGGATGTGCAACACAACTGGGACGTGCAACGCAACTGGGACTTGCAATGGAACTGGGATGTGCAACGCAACTGGGACTTGTAAAGCTGTTGGGGTGTGCAATGCAACTGGGACGTGCAACACAACTGGGACTTGCAATGCCACTGACACGTGCAACGCAGCTGGGATTTGCAAGGGGACTGGGGTGTGCGATGCAACTGGGACGTGCAAAACTGCTGGGGTGTGCAACACAACTGGGACGTGCAACGCAACTGGGACTTGCAATGGAACTGGGATGTGCAACGCAACTGGGACTTGTAAAGCTGTTGGGGTGTGCAACACAACTGGGACGTGCAACACAACTGGGACTTGCAATGCCACTGACACGTGCAATGCAACTGGGATGTGCAAGGGGACTGGGGTGTGCGATGCAACTGGGACGTGCAATGCAACTGGGATGTGCAACACAACTGGGACGTGCAACAGAAGTGGGATGTGCAACACAACTGGGACTTGCAATGGGACTGGGACGTGCAACACAACTGGGACTTGCAAAGCTACTGGGATGTGCAACACAACTGGGATGTGCAACACAGCTGGGACTTGCAATGGGACTGGGATGTGCAACACAACTGGGATTTGCAAAGCTGTTGGGACATGCAATGGAACTGGGACGTGCAACACAACTGGGACTTGCAATGGGACTGGGGTGTGCAACACAACTGGGACGTGCAACAGAAGTGGGATGTGCAACACAACTGGGACTTGCAATGGAACTGGGATGTGCAACGCAACTGGGACTTGTAAAGCTGTTGGGGTGTGCAACACAACTGGGATGTGCAAAACTGCTGGGGCGTGCAACGCAACTGGGACGTGCAACACAACTGGGACTTGTAAAGCTACTGAGACGTGCAACGTAACTGGGATGTGCAACACAACTGGGACTTGCAACACAACTGGGATGTGCAATGCAACTGGGACTTGCAATGGAACTGGGATGTGCAATGCAACTGGGACTTGTAAAGCTGTTGGAGTGTGCAACACAACTGGGATGTGCAGCACAACTGGGACTTGCAATGGGACTGGGGTGTGCAACGCAATTGGGACGTGCAACACAACTGGGATGAGCAACACAAGTGGGACTTGCAAAGCTGATGGGTGTGCAACACAACTGGGACTTGCAATGGGACTGGGGTGTGCAATGCAACTGGGACTTGCAATGCAACTGGGTCGTGCAACACAACTGGGATGTGCAAGAGGACTGGGACTTGCAATGCAACTGGGACGTGCAACACAACTGGGACTTGCAATGCCACTGAGACGTGCAACGCAACTGGGATGTGCAACACAACTGGGACTTGCAATGGGACTGGGACGTGCAACACAACTGGGATGTGCAACACAACTGGGACTTGCAATGGGACTGGGACGTGCAACACAACTGGGACTTGTAAAGCTGTTGGGGTGTGCAATGCTACTGGGACGTGCAATGCAACTGGGGTGTGCAAAGCTACTGGGTTGTGCAATGCAACTGGGACGTGCAACACAACTGGGACTTGCAACGCAACTGGGACGTGCAACACAACTGGGACTTGCAACACAACTGGGACGTGCAATGCAACTGGGACGTGCAACACAACTGGGATGTGCAAAGCTGTTGGAGTGTGCAACGCAACTGGGACGTGCAACACAGCTGAGACTTGCAAAGCTACTGGGGTGTGCAATGCAACTGGGATGTGCAACACAACTGGGACTTATAAAGCTGTTGGGGTGTGCAAAACTACTGGGACGTGCAACACAAGTGGGACTTGCAATGGGACTGGGATGTGCAACACAAGTGGGACTTGCAAAGCTGATGGGTGTGCAACACAAGTGGGACTTGCAAAGCTGCTGGGTTGTGCAACACAAGTGGGATGTGCAACAAAACTGGGACGTGCAAAACTGCTGGGGTGTGCAATGCAACTGGTATGTGCAATGGGACTGGGGTGTGCAATGCAATTGGGACGTGCAACACAGCTGGGACTTGTAAAGCTTCTGGGGTGTGCAAAGCTATTGGGACGTGCAACACAACTGGGACTTGCAAAGCTACTGGGTTGTGCAACGTAACTGGGACTTGCAATGGGACTGGGGTGTGCAAAGCTACTGGGACGTGCAACACAACTGGGATGTGCAAAGCTACTGGGTTGTGCAATGCAACTGGGACGTGCAACACAGCTGGGACTTGCAACGCAACTGGGATGTGCAAAGCTGTTGGGGTGTGCAACACAACTGGGACTTGCTGCAGGACCTGGATGTACAAAGGGATTTGAGTGTGCAATGCAGCTGGGACGTGCAACACAACTGCGACTTGCAAAGCTGTTGGGGTGTGCAAAGGGATCAAGGCGTGCAAGGACCTGGACTTGCAAAGCTGTTGAGTTGTGCAACACAACTGCGACTTGCAGCAGGACCTGGTTGTGCAAATGGATCTGAGTGTTCAATGCAACCTGGGGCGTGCAATGGGACTGGGGCGTGCAACACGACTGGGACGTGCAATGGGACTGGGGTGTGCAATGCAACCTGGCCTTGCAGCAACACGTGGTTGTGTAAAAGGAATTGGATGTGCAATGGGGTTTGGGTGTGCAAGGCAACTTGGACTTGCAGCAGGATGTGGATGTGCAAAGGGGTTGGGGCATGCAACAGAAGTGGGGCGTGCAACCAGATTGGGATGTGCAACGGGGTTGGATGTGCAACAACGCCTGGGCGTGCAACAAGGTTTGGGTGTGCAAGGCAACTTGGATTTGCAGCAGGATGTGGACGTGCAAAGGGATTTGGGCATGCAACACACGTGGGACTTGCAAAGGCATTCGGGTGTGCAATGCAACTGAGGCGTGCAAGGACTTTGGGGTGTGTAACACAACTGGGACGTGCAACGGGCCGCGGATGTGCAACAGGATTGGGGTGTGCAAAGGGGTTGGGGTGTGTGCAATGGAGCTGGGTGTGCAAAGGGATCTGGATGTGCGACACGGCTGACACTTGGATGTGCAAAGGGATGGGGGCGTGCAACACAAGTAGGGCGTGCAACGACACCTGGATGTGCAAGAGGATTGGGCGTGCAACAACACCTGGATGTGCAATGGGATTTGGGCGTGCAACACAAGTGGGACTTGCAATGCAACCGGGACGTGCAAGAGGATCTGGATGTGCAAAGGGATTGGGTGTGCAACACAACCAGGATGCACGCTTGGATTTGCAACAAGATGTGGCTGCGCAATAGGATGTGGGTGTGCAAGGCAACTTGGGCGTGCAACGACAGTTGGATTTGCAATAGGATTTGAGTGTGCAACACAACTTGGATGTGCAACGATGCTTGAGTGTGCAACAGGATTGTGTGAGCAATGGTACTTGAGTGTGCAACAGGATTGAGTGAGCGATGGCACTTGGGTGTGCAAGGGGATTTGGGTGTGCAAAGACACTTGGATGTGCAACGGGATTTGTGCAATGCAACGAGGAGGTGCAACAACACTTGGTTGTACAACAGAATTTGGGTGTGCAACACAACTTGGACGTGCAATGACACTTGAGTGTGCAACAGGATTGGGTGTGCAACAAGCACTAGGGTGTGCAACAACACTTACATATGCAATGGGATTTGAGTGTGCAACACAACTTGGACGTGCAACAACACTTGGGTGTGCAACAGGATTTGAGTGTGCAATGGAACTTGTGCAATGCACCCTTGTCACGGGTTTTGAGTGTGCAATGACACTTGGATGTGCAACAACAGCTGGGTGTGCAATGGGATTTGGGCGTGCAACACAACGTGGCCATGCAACAGCACTTGGATGTGCAACAGGGTCTGGTGTGCAATAACACTGGGATGTGCAATGCAGCTCGGATGTGCAAGGAGATGTGAGCGTGCAACACAACTTGGATGTGCGACAGCACTTGAATGTGCAACGGGATTTGTGCAATGCAACTTGAATGTGCAACAACACCTGGATGTGCAACAGGGTTTGGGTGTGCAACGACACTTGAATGTACAATGAGATTTGAGCGTGCAACGCAACACAGCTGTGCAATAGGATTGGGTGTGCAATGGAAACGGTGCGATGGGATTTGGGGGTGCCACAGGTTTGAGTGTGCAACGACACTTGGATGTGCAACGGGCATTTGAGCGTGCAACACAACTTGAACGTGCAACAGCACCTGGATGCGCAACAGGGTGGAAGTGTGCAATGGAATTTGAGTGTGCAATGGGATCTCAGAATGAAAAGCAGCTTGGGTGTACAATGACACTCGGGTGTGCCACAGCTTTGAGTGTGCAACAACACTTGGATGTGCAATGGGATTTGAGCGCGCCGCACAACTTGGGTGTGCAACAGCACCTGGATGTGCAAGGCGATTTGGTGTGCAACAACACTTAGGTGTGCAATGGGATGTGAGTGTGCAAGGCAACTTTGGCTTGCAAAGAGAACTGGATGTGCAATGGGGCATAGGTGTGCAAAGCAGCTTGGGCGTGCAACAGAATTGGGATGTGCAACAGGACTTGGATGCGGAAGAGGATTTAAGCGTGCAACACGACTGAGGTGTGCAATGGGATGTGATTGTGCAACAGGATTTGGGCGCGCAATGGGATTCAGATGTGCAACATGGCTTGGATGTGCAACACAGCGGTTGTGCAACGGGTTGTGGGTGTGCAACATGACCGGGGCATGCAGTGGCATGCAGATTTGCACGAGAACTTGGTTGTGCAAAAGGACTCCTGTGTGCAAAGGGATTTGGGTGTGCAACACCACTGGGACGTGCAAGAGGGTGTAACTGTGCAAAAGGGATTAGGCGTGGAACGGCAACTGAAACAAAACACGAGTGTGCAAAAGGACATGCAGCACAGCTGGGACACGCAGTGGCACGTGGGCGTGCAAAGGAAGATCAGTGTGCAACAGGATGTGCAACAAATGTGGGCGAGTACGGATTTGCGACACAACTGGGATGAGCAGGGAGACCTGAGTGTGCATAGGAGTGTGCAATGGTGAAGGAGTTTGAAATCCGGCGTGGTTTCCTGGCACTTGAGTGTGCAACTGGGTGTGCAAGAGGGTTAAGACGTGCAACAGGACAACAGTTGTGCAACAGGACTTGAATGTGCGATGGGAAAGGGGGAGTGCAAAGGGACATGAGTGTATAACGGGCTGTGCAACTGAATCTGGATGTGTAAATGGGTGTGCAAGGGGCGTGCAATGCGGTATAGGTGTGCAAGGGCGTGAAAACAGGGATCACAGACTCATTCACATGCATGTGCAAGAAGACGGATGCTTGTGCAAAGCACCAGGACAGCATGCTGTGAGCATGCAGGGATCACACGCGTGTGCAAGGCTCACGAGTGGTTGTGTGTATGCACTCCTAGCCCGTGCTTGTGCAAATGCAAGCCCCTGTGGGCATTTTTCTCATTCCCTTGCACACTCGTGAGCCTTGCACATCACAAATCCCTACACCCCAAATCTTTGCACACTCATATCCCTTTCATACACGCGTCCCTGTGCTCACACGGTGCCTTGCACACACTTGCAGATTTGTGCACTGCTTGCACGCTCACATACCTTGCACACTTATGCCCCGCATGCATACTTGTTCCTTGCACGCTCAACCCTCATTCACACGGTTCCTTTGCACACACATCCCCATGTCCACGTGCTCCTTTCACATCTCTTGCACACACACCACCCTTGCCCTCCTCTGGACCTCCTTGCACACTAGCATCCGCATCCCTTGCACACCTGTCTCATTTGCACACTCACCTGATCCACTGACACTCCTTGCACACACTGCTGCCACACATTCCTCCCTTTCCCCCAGCATCCCTTGCACACTCATATGCCTTGCACACACATCCCATGCACACTCACACATCCTCCACCCTCACGCACCTTGCACACCCCCATATCCCTCGCACGCTCACTGTCAACACCCCACCCACTCTCATTCCTTGCACACCTGCAAAAAAATCCCTCCCCCTTGCACACCTGACTCCTTTGCGCAGCTCTTACACGCTTCCTTCTCACACCAACAGCACTTGCACACCTCCATATCTCCTTGCACACCTGCATCTTCGCTCATTTGTCACACGCCAGCAGCCCCTCACTCCCCTTGCACTCCCAAACCCCTTGCACACCTCCATGTCCCTTGCACACCCACATCCTTCACACGCCTCCATCTTCTTTGCATACCTCCACACCCGCTCACCTTGCACACTCTCACCACATGCACACCTCCACGCCCCTTGCACACTCACCGTTTGCGCAACAGCTCCTTCCACACCCACACCACTTGTGCCCCTCCATGTCTCTTGCACACCCATACTGCTCACATCCATCTCCTTTGCACTCCCACACCCCCACACCTCTTTCACAGCCCCACCCTCTTGCACACTCAATCCTCCTGCGCAACTCAGTGCTCCTTGCACACCCATCTCTCTCACGCACCTTCATCTTCTTTGCACACCCATATCCCCATACCCTTTGCACACCTCCCACAGCCCCCCATGGCCCTTGCACACTCACACCTTTAGCAAACACACTCTTAACACACACATACACTTTGCACACCTACACGCTTTTTGCACAGTCGCCTCATGCACAGCACGTCCTTGCACACCCGCATCCTTCCCACACACCCATGCCTCTTGCACACTCACACCTCCCGCAGCCCTTCCACATTCACCCCTTGCACACCTCCATGACCCTTGCACACTCACAACCTGCACACATCTCTGTCTCCGTTGCACACCCAGACCTCTTGCATTCCATGCCCCTCGCACACTCACACCTCCCACCACCCCCCACAACCCTTCCACTTTCACCCCTTGCACACCCACATCCC